GGTTGACATGTTGTGGGGTTGTTAACCAATGTCATAAAACAATATGTGTACTAGTGTTTCATGAGAAACTATTTGTTCTGTAAGCCTTCACCTGAAGTATAATTTAAAAAAAAAGGAGAAAAAAAAATTTTTTTAAAAAATCAGTTGGAGAATGCGATCTACATGTTTTTACTATCTCATTATATCCTAACAGACCTTTTTAATAAGGCCCATATGAGGCCTGTCTTATCATATGAAACAACTCAAAAATAGTAAATAACTTCCCATGGTCGTATGAATCACATATAAAATAGAAACTAGGACCCACATCTCCAAACTACTTCAGTACTCAGCCCAACACACAAATACTAATTGCATCACTGGAAAATATCTCTAGATAGGTACCATTGATGATCAGGGAATTTTGAACCTGCTGGGAAATTATTAGCCCAGAGCAGGAGATCTAGTTGTTGATTAAACAGAGTTGCCACTCAGCTGAGGGGACACAAGGCTAGACCCACAGAAGTGAGGCAACAACCAAGGAATACAGAATGTGCTAGGAGGCTCTGTTAAACTCCACAGGTAGGTAAGCATGGCTCAGTACACAGAGGACTTCAGAAGACAAACATGACACATTTGTTTCTGGAGATTTAAACCACAACATGCCAGTGTTGCAGGGAGACGGCAATTTATTTCCTATTCAGAGGGAAACCAGTTGGTGAGAGAAATTTTTGTTCAAGCACACTAGTGATAAACTCTAGGGCAAAGTGTTGCCTTATTACAGGGAAGGCTGGAGGGGTTAGAGACTTACGGGTTTGTTTTTGATGCTTTTTAGCGTCTTCCATGGTTTTAATGAAATTCCATTTTACCCTCTAAGTTTTAGCTCTTCCTGGGCACTTCAGACTAGAACATAACTATTGGATATCTTAAAAACATACTCTGGTCACTTTGGCAGGGTTATTTTCATTAAAATCTTTATGTCCTTTCCCAACTCCTGAAATCCTGGTCAGGTCTGTAGTTTTCTGATCCTTACACCAGTAAGCCAATCAGAAGTCTTTACAACCTGCTGCACTCATTAGCATTATTTATTTCAATTCACAGACTCAGATGAGAAGAGACGTTATATCTGATCTAGGTCACCCTCGTTTCTCGGCATATGCCCCCTCCACGATACATGCCAAGTGGCAGTCAAACTTGAATCCCACCAGTGATGTGGGACTTGCCGCTTCCCGAGCAGTCATTCCACAAACACTCCCTGTGTATAACTTCTCAAGCCTTCCTAAAGGCAATCTTATCTCTGCAAACTGTGATAACTAGTGCAAAGAATTTCTGATGTATCCTTTATGGCTTGGCCTTAAGGTCACAAATATTCCTTATTGTCATTGTTACCAAGTCCCACCAAAGTGGTCAAGTGTGCCTGCTTGTTTAAGCAGGGAGGGGAATCCATGCTAAAATTCATTTCTAAAAGAAGATACCTTGGCATTACTAAGTCTAAGTGACTTATAGAGGATCTTGTGGTCTGGGTGGAAAATGAGTACAGAGGGCCTTCTGATTCTGGGTGGTTTTGAGGTTTCATACAAAGCCAAGATAATACTTCCTGTGTCGAGACCTCTTTCTAACAGTAAGTTTCAAGTCTCAGAAGGGATATCTTCATTCAAAACAGAGGATGTCTTCTGAAAGAGAGGATTTGGGACTTTGTTTTTCATACTCTCCAGCCAACCCACCCATGTATGAATACATAAAATACTGAATCTTTATGAGAATTAATTCACAGCTTAGCCCAGTCCTTGATCTCAGAGGTCAAAATAATAGAACTCAAACTTTCAGAGGCAGTTGTCTGCTTCCTGTGTTTTGATCCATTTGGGCTCTCAATTCTCCAAGCCAATGGTTGGAGACAGAGGACTCAGTCTTTAGTGGTGAGATAACAGCTCCCTTAAGTCGTTGTTTTGTTTTCCCTTATGCCTTCCTCTCACCTTCCATGCAGGAGACCTGGGTTCGACTGGGCCAATGCGCCTCACGCACAGCCACCACCTGTCTGTCAGTGGAGGCTTGCGTGTTGCTATGATGCTGAACGGGTTTCAGTAAAGCTTCCAGACCAAGATGGACTAGGAAAAAAGGCCTGGCAATCTACTCTCGAAAATCAACCAATGCAAACCGAATGGATCCCAACAGTCTGATCCACAACCAATCAAGAGAATGGTGCAGGACTGGGCAGCATTTCGTGGGGTTGCCACGAGTCAGGGCCAACTGGATGGCAGCTAACGACAACAACATAAATAATGAAGGACCAAAAGGAAGACAAGCAAGTGAATGAGACACGAGAGCCTTAAAAACCACAGCCTGGAAAACTCCAATTCTGTGGTATTTTCTTGGTTTGGGTTTGCTTTATTTTGTTGTTTGTTTCTTGCTTCTTCAAACTCAGAACTTGTCATTTCCTTCAAGAGCCACTCATTCACTCAGAGTAGTCTGCCTGGGGACTGCTCTAGCTGGTTTCACGTGATCAGCTATTTACCAAAGCAGAGCTAATCTGGAGGATTCCTGGAAGGACAGGGTCACCCAAACCTCACCTGCCTGAACAGGCACTACACCTTCTTAGCAAAGAATGGGCTTTTCAACCCTCGCCTTCAAGCGGTGATGGAAGATAAGAGAGGAATAGCTTCCTGAGATATGCAGTGAGCACAACTAGCTGGAGGTGAGGTGATGAGGGGCAGGGAGGAGAAAGACTTTGGGGTTTAGGTCAGTTCTTGGGGCTCAGGGTCCAAGGGAATTGATGGAGCCTGGACTAGGGCTGTTCGGCCGTTCTGAGAGCTTTAAGACTGTAACTGCAAAGCATATATATTTCCCTCCCTGGTAAGCTTTCTTTCCTGTGAAAAAGGGAAAGGAAAAACCAACCACTAATTCTCCTAAAGCTATGAAAGAACCAGAATCCTATGGCATCTGGCCTAGAGAAACAATCCAGATTTTAGCCCTTAGGAGCCCTTTAAGCTCTGGGGGTTTAAAAAAACCACTGAGCTGCTTCTCACTTTGCAGTCAGTATTGAATGATCCTAGGGCATATGGGACTCTGGGACCCTAAATAACTGAAATCCCCCACTGTACCAGGTGCTATGGGGATGGCCAGATGTCAGTATTCTCCCGCACAGAGTCTTACACCAAGGCTGTTCATCACCAGTAGAATGGGCTTCATTTAGATTTTGGTTCCTTTTTATTTCTCCTGCTCAGAACTGGTAAAAGAATGTTAGAAGAAGAAAGTGGAAGAGGAAGAGCAAGAGGTGGGGAAGCGGGGGGATCATTTTACCACAACAGGATGATGTGTCTTAGACAAGCAAGTGTTGTCTGTATTTCAGTTAAGATCCTTGGTGTTAGTCCAGGGTTTCTTCCTATTTGATCTAGAACAAGGCTGGGATAAGATTCTCCAGACCTGAAATCACGGCCCCAGGAATGCCTCATACCAAGCCTTGGGATGTGGCTCTGGGTAAACATCTCTCCTCTTTAAAATTGCTTTGCTGTTTGTGAGGCCAGGATGGCACTTCCTAGCAAAAGAGGTGCCCTCTTTCTCAATGGCAAATGAAAATAAAATTTCAGGGTAAAGCTTTTGAATCTTAGCAACACATGGAAACCAGATGTCCTATTGTATTGTTTAATGGCTAATCCAAACCAGGATGTGTGGCTAAATCTGTACACCGTGCCTTAGTTTAGTCTTTGGCATTACGCCCCATCAAACCAAACACCCACTCAGCCACTGAGTGGCCAGACCCAGGAAGAAGGTTTCCTGCATTTCATGGATGGCCTTTTGAATAATTGAGCAGAAAAAGCATGGTGTTGTGAAATATTCATAAATCACTGAGTCAGCTCTAGTCAACCTCTTGGTGCTTTTGTTTTCTCTGGTCCCAGATGTTGCTCCTGGCTCTGGAAAGGAAGAGGCTAGCAGTATTGACAGAAAAGATGACAGCTAACCAGAAAACACCCAAGTTAGGAGGTTTGTACTTTTCACTGACTTACAGAAAAGCCCATTTTCACTCAGGAGAAAAACAGCCCTGGCTAGGGCTTCCTGGAGTAATCCCCTGAAATGGTACCAGAGGGAACATCTAGGGTGCCTAAGAGTCTGACTACTTGAGCCATGATCTAGCAGGCCTCTTAGACCTTGCTTGAGAGGACTTCCTGTTCCTAACATCATCCTTGAGATCTCTCCAGTGAGGCTCGAGGTCCTAGGAGGGAGCCCAGATCGGCCCCATTCCCAACTGAGACTTGCAAATTGCCTCTGAAAGCTTGGACCTTGATATTCCAGAGACAGGCGTTCACATTCTACCTTGTCGGCCTTCACCAACCTGGCCCCCACACAGCATCTACTGCCTCCCACCCGTGCACCACAGCGTTTCTCACACAAGACGAAAACAGCCAAGCAACTCCGAGAGCCTGCTTCCATAGCTGCTGCTGCAGAAAGCCAGAACAGAGCGCCACAACCACAGAGTGAAACGAGGGAAGTGGGACTAAGACACAAACATCCTGTCCTTACTACATTGAGTGGCTCCAGCTCGAGCATCAGGGTCACAGAGCTGATTATTTACGTGGGACAGAGCTACCCAATGACACGCATCAACTCATCTCCTCCGTAGTCATTGCTGGTAAGAAAGCATTTTCTCCTGAGTCCACGGACTTAAACAATGCAATTCTTTAGCTTAAGAGGTTGGTGACAGGAGACAGTGACTGGGAATGCCCTGCAGCTAACCAGGGTGGGTAGGAGTGTGTTGTGTGAGCCGTGGGTAGAAGTTCTGTTCAGGGTAAATTGAGCTCCAGCTAGCTGGAAGTGCTATCTCTTTCCACAGACCGGTCTAGGAGAGAAGGGGCTGAATCAGGAGCAAAGAAATGGCACTGTTTGCCCCCGTCAGTCCTCACCATCTTTTCCGGGCTCTGTTCTTCCTTGCAGGTCTCACCCTGTAAATGACCGCTTCCAGCTAAAGATCTCCAGATTGGAAGAGGGAGAGACCTCCCGCTTCTGCAGGCTTCCCCAGCGACGCCGGCGTCCTAGGAACGAAGTTCGGTGCCTACTCAGCCCTTTCATCCTCTCTTCCACTCGGAAGAACTCAGTCAAGGCTCGGAAGTACTCCAAGATGACCTCGTGGCTCCAGGCTGACAAAGGCTCCCGGCGCAGGAAGCCACAGTGGCCTCCGTGGCGACTGAGCAGGAGGAAGAAGTAGGGGTTGCTGTGAAAGAGCTCAGTAGGCAGAGTGTGGTCCGGGGGCCCGCACACGGGGTCATCAGCACTGCAGATACACAGCACAGGCACGGCCGCCTCGTCCACATCCCGGAGGGGGTCGTTGTGGTCCCAGTAGGTGTCCCAGCTGATGGGGAAACTCTTGGTGTGACAGAAGAGGGTCTCTTCAAGCTCACGCAGGGAGCGGCTCCTGAACAGTTTGCCCGTGTCCACTGTGTCCTCCAGGGCCGTGGCATACCTGGCAGCAAGACGGTGAACAGGGAAGGTGAGGAAGAGAAGGAAGAATCAGAAAACAAAGGACGACCGAAGTTAGAGTGACAGCCCACGGGCCAGATTCTGACCACAGATGCTTTCTTTGACCACACAGAGTGTCTAAGAACTTCCATTTCATTGCCATCCTTTCAAACCAGGAGACTGCACATAAAATGCAGATGTCTGGCTCCTCTAGGGAAATGGGGAGACCTGGCAACTCGGGCTGATGTTCCTCAGGGGCTTTCCTCCCTCCCTCCCGTGTCGCAGTCCCCACCAGGCCCATTCCCAAACCCATTCTCACTGATCACTCACATATGACTTTGGTTGCGTTAGTTCTTTTTGTTGTTGGTGGTGTTTTTTTGTTTTGTTTTGTTTAAGCTAAAATGTTGTCCCAGTGATGACAAATGAGTGTGGCCTTGATCTGTGGGGCAGGTATTCCTGGAGAGTGCTGGGTGGGAGAGAAAGCAGACTGGGAGTGTAATTAAGTTACAGGGTGGGTTCACTGGGGGCCTGAGAGCAACTGCCCCCTGGAGAGGGCCTGCCACCCTGACAAGAAGGCCAGGATGGGCAGCCCAGACCTTTAGGTGAATCAGTCTGGCCTCAGCCAGTTGAAATTGAATGTGTGTCTCCTGCAAACATTCAAACAGGCTTGCTCTGAGTTTTCAGTCCCAACCTTTCATGGGCAGGGCAGTTCCTGAAGGCCCAAGTTTTGTCTCCGCTTCCCTAGTCTCCAGCTGGTGCTCAGAGTCAGCACCGGTAGTGGTCATTTTGGGATGGAAACCATGGCAATTAAGCCATACAAGAGCACCTTGCCCCTGGCCTACGTCAGCTCTGTGTTGCCATAGCAGCACTTCGGGCTGTTGTTGAGCTCAGGATTTGACCTTCTCAGAATAGGAAGCAAAGTGGGGAGAGAGAAGAAAGAGAAATCACAGTTACCACCACCTATCCAGGGCCAGGCCCTTCACTTTTCTTATCTCATATAATGATCACAACCAGCCTGGGAGGGGGTTATGATTAACTCCACTTAACTAAAGCAGGAATTGTGGCTCAAGGGGGGTTAGCTAACTTGCTAGAAATTCAGGATTTGAATCCCAGTGGGCACGAGCCCATAGTCCAGGTCTTTCCGCTATACCACCTGTTGTCATAATGTCTTGGACCTCATTCTGTCACCTCCTAGGAAAGCAACAGTGCAGGCTGAGGCCTGGTTATGTGCTGTGGGACTGTCATTCAGGCTTTCTCAGTGGAAAAGTCTCCCCTGTCATTTCTTTGGTATCATACTTTTAAACAATTATTTTTGTATTAAATATTGAATACATGCCTATGGATACGTAAAACATTTTCCAGGTCTAAAGAACTATAATAAATCAAATGCCAACATCTTTCTGATTCCTGTCACCTCCAGCCTCAGAGACTGTAAGAAAACATTCTGGACAGATAATCGGTTGCAATTGCTTCCAGAGGGCTCTTGGCTGATTTGTCAGGCTACCGACTAAGTGGTAAACAGGCGTGAGCTGCTTCCGCTGCTGCCCATGGGGCAGGTGCTCAGGCTGCTAAAACACCGTGGACTGAGGGGAGGAGAGGGGCGCCTGGGCAGGAATCCCTACTCTTGTGCGATGATCCTGAATGAGTCCATCCATAGCTTTTAAACCCTTTTTTTCCTGATTCTGGCTAGACCACGGGGTTTGGATGGCTTCAGAGAGTGTGTAAGGAGAACTTTGCCCAAACTGGCCTAAAACTGTTCGATTCAATACCAGGCAGAGCTGTTTCTCCGTCAGCTCAAGACCGCTGTTCCCTCTGCGGCCTCCGTCACCCACCTGCTGAGGGCAATCTTCTGTTGGAGCAGAAAGCCCCGCTCGTAGGCCCAGGGCAGGCCGGCCTCGAACCACTCGCGGCAGCGCAGCACCGGCGAGATGCAGGCGGCGCCGGTCACGTAGCTGGAGGAGCCGCACTCGCCCAGGTAGGAGAGCAGCAGCGCCGAGCCCGAGCCCTCGCTCACGGCGAACAGCGGGGCCGCAGGGTGTCTGAAGCGGATATAAGTGACCGCCTCCTTGAGGTCGGAGGGGTCACCAAAAGGCTGTAGCCGGGGGTTGACCAGCGGGCAGCCGTGGTGGCCGCGGCGGTGGAAGATGACTGGGTAGTAGCCGCGCTCCAGGGCGAGCAGGCAGAGGCGCAGCACGTTGCGGGTGAGACGCCCCCACGCATTGGGGATGACCAGCAGCACCGCCGGAAGGCCTCCGGCGTTGGTGACCCGGCGACCTCGGGCGCAAGGTCCTACGACCCAGTCTAGGGCCACCAGCCCCTCGTCCGCCAACTGCAGGTACTCCCGGGCCAGCTCAGGGCCCGGTCCCACGGGCAGGACGAAGTGGCAGAGGGTCTGAAGGTGGGGCCCGGAGAGCCAGGAGCGCGGGCCAGTCTCCAGCGCTGCGGAGCGTCGCAAAGCGCGTAGCAGGCACTGGGCCAGCGCCGACGGCTTACAGATGAGACGGCACCCGCCGGGCAGCGGCTCCCGCCCGTCGCTGAACTGGTCCAGGAGATCTCCGCCTTCTGCCTCCTCCTCGTCGTCTTGACCCCGGGCCTCGGGTAGGGTTCTTGCACCGACGGTGCGCCTCCCTGAGCGTCGTAGCCACGGGGCCAGCAGGCCAAGCAGCGCGAGCGCGGCCAGCAGCAGGGCGAGGGCGGCTCCCCACGGTAGCATGGTGAGGCAAGGGAGCCCCCGGCGGGTGGCGGGCGGCTGGTGGCGGGCCGTCCCCTCGGAGAGCCCCCGGCTCTGCCCGCGGCTCCACCCGGCCGCCTGCGGCTGCCTAGAGCCCTCCCGCGCGGCGTGGGGAGGGGGGGGGGGGCGCTCCGGATTGGCCGCGGCCCCGCTGAGGCAGCCAGTTCGGGCCCGGCTCCCCTCTCCCGCCCCCCCGCCCCAGCCCTTTGTACAGCGATTGCGACAAGCAGGAGCAGAGGGCAAAAGGAGCCGGGACCACTGAGAAGGGGCGAGGACGCGCCGGCGAGCCGGAAGAGGGTGGGGAGGGCAGAGCCGAGGAGAGGGGTGACGGCAGCAGAGAAGTGAGGAGACCCGGAGACAGAGGCTTGGAGGGCGGGGGTGAGCATCAAAGGCCCCCGTCTCCGCCCTCCACCCTGCGCGGTCCGGAAGGCGGGACCGTGCCGGCAGCCAGAGTCCTTAGCTGCCGTGCGAGAGACCCTGGGTCGCTGCGCCCTCAGGGGCCGTGTTGAGAAGTAGCAAAAGGCAGAAGAGAATAAACGGCACATCCGGGCGCGGACTCCTGGGCTCCCGCGGGCCGACTGCAGTTGCAGCCAAAGCCACCAGCCGCACCTCCTTATCCCGGCTCAGCGGTGCTCTCTGCCCTCGGTGTTTGTCTCGGCCCCATGGGCACCCGAACTGCGCAATAACCCGGCCGGGTGGAGGTCCGGCACCGGGCCAGCGAGGGCAGGCGACCTGTCCCGACATGGGTGTGCAGCGGGAGGCTAGGGCTCAGGGGCTTTGCCGGCAGCAGTGCGCTGTCGCGGTGGCCCAGCCGGTGAACTTGGGCTCTCGCAGGAGCCTGGCTTCCGAAAGAGGAAATCCTTAACACGGCTCCCCAGGAAGGGCTTCCCCAGAAGAAACTGCCTCGAGTGTCCGAGAATAACCTAGGGAAAGGACGCACTCAAGTGCCCTGCCACCCCTGTGATGGGGCCGTGGCGAAAGTCGACTGGAGCTGCAACAACAATTCAACAACTGGCAATTAACTTGGTGGTGGTGTGGGGGGGACGGGGTAAGGAAGCCCTTGTAAATCACAGATATGTGGGAGACAACTGAAACAACACGTTCTCACTTTATTTTGAAGTTTTGGGCTGGGCATCGCAATCCTCACTTTCCACCCACGTTCCTGTCCTTCCTCAAAATCCTGAGCCTGGCCGAGGAGGGCACCCGGGGAGAGGGCAGCAGAGCCGGCGCCCCGCTGCGGGTGCAGTCCGGCCAGCCTTCCCCTCTGGAGCGAAGCCTAAGGTTCCTCCGCCTCACGGTGACCATAGTCTCCCTAGGCACCGCAGGCCACCATCGGACGAATGAAAGCGAAGGTGGAGGTGGGGAACAAAGCAGGCCCCAAGCCAGCTCCAGCCTCCCGGACTTCAGGCCTGGTAAGGTTGGGAGCCTGAATCCTCCGACGCTCGTCGGAGTACCGACCATATTTGCGAGGGCAGGAGTGGGATGGGCAAAAGATGAAGCAACAGACAGAGCTGGAACCCTCTCCCTCTCCGCAGCTTGGACTTTGTGATTCTGTCCCTCTTCTAGTGGCAGGTCACATGGACAAGCCTGAAGCGGGTTTGCCGGGGGAGCGTGCCCGTCTCCCCTCGCCTTGAGCACGCGGTCCACAGGGATCCCATTTCCCATCCTTTCCCGAAGCTGCGCTCTGCTGGCCGCGGGAATGCGCTGGGGCGAATCCCCGGGCGACGAAGGCGGTCCCCGCTGGCCCTCCAGCACAGCGCGCGCGGGCCGGGCTCTCAAAAACTTTTCCGGCTTCAGGTCTAGGACGCGTGCGCGCAAGGTCTGCTGCTGTGGGCGGGCAGAGGCGGGGCAAGAGTGGCACGGGGCTGTGGGGCGGGGCGAGGGATGGACGCGCGAGCCGGGGGAGTCCGGGAGCGCGGGCGGGGACTGTGGGGAGCGCGCGCGAGCCCGGGTCTACGTGGGCGCGCGGGCGGCGCGGGGGCACTGGGGCAGGGCGGCGCGGCGCGCTCCCTCGCTGGCGCGGCGGCTGGCTGGACCCGGCTGGGGGCCGGCTAGGATGGCGCTTACTGCGCCTTCTCCCCAGCTGCTTCTCCTGGCAACCCTGGTGGGGCTCCTGAGTCCCAGTGAGGTAAGGCGGCCCGCTCCTGAGATGGCTTCGGCCCAGGATCTCAAAGCGCGCTCTGCCGAAAGTTAGTCCTGGAAGGAGTGGTCCGCGGAGAGGAGACTAGCAGTCCCACCCTGGAGGGCTGGGCCTGGGGAGGGAGCGGGCAGAGCCCTCGCCGAGAGCAGCACCCCAGCTCTGCGCCTTGGACCCGCAGGTGGTGGCTGATCCGGCGGAGGAGGCAGGAGCCCGTTGTCCCGAGGGCCCATGGCCTCTGCCCCCACAGGTAGGAGTCCTCGAATGTCGGGAGAAAAGGGATTGCTGAAGGGGTAACCCCCTCCCGTTATAGCCTTGCCATACTCTCCACAGTCAGTCACCCTCTGGGGACCTCTACCGGTCCTTCCGGCCCTAGTCGCCAGCATTTCCATCCCAAACTGACGTTTGGGGCCTACCGTCCTCTCCCCACCCCACCCACGGAGTCCCCCAACTACCCTAAAGTCTCTTCTTTCCCCATGTACAGGTGTCACCAAGAGTGAGGTATACACGGATGATCCCAGGGCTGGTACGTACAAGCAGGGACCATCCTTGGGTGTGTGTACTTGGAAAAAGCCAGCACCTTGCAGGCTTCCTCCATCTTTTCTGCTCATCAGCTCCATTCCTTGTCTCTTCCCTCAGGAAGTGACAATGTTCCTAGTCCCCCACCTCGCCCTAGTCCCAGGACTAAACAGATATAGGTGAGCCGCGGGCCTCTGTCCTCTGTAATGGTGTGGCAGGAATGCTGTTGGGTAGCTGGCAGTGTGGGTAGGTGGCTGCAAGTGGAAGGGAAGGTAGTAGAAAAAAATTCCACACCCCAACTCCCCAAAGTGACTGTGGGAAGTCTCCTGACTTCTCAGGGCCTCAGTTTTCTGTAAGAGAAGATGTTAATACTGTCCTACCTGTAAGAATTAAATGTATAGTGACAGCATTTTGCAAAGTACAAAGGTATATCGTGTAAGGAGTGTGCCCCCGGTTTGTTGTTGTTATCATCAAGTGATTCTAACTCATGGGATCCCGTGTGCCTGAGGTTACTAGACTCCAGACTGTGGGCTCAACTTGGATGGCTGCCCCTCTGTCCTCATTGCCGATGGTCAGATAACTTTTCTGTCTGTTTGGATTTTCCTTTGAAATATGTAACTTTTTTGATCTTCTGTAATAGCTCCAGGCTAAGAGACACTGCTTCATGCCACCTCCCTGATTCCATTCTTCCAACAGCCCTTTCATCAAGTCATTCCACTATTCAGAAACCTTCAGAACTCCTTATTTCCATCCTTATCATAGCCATACTTCCCTGCCTGCCTTTATTACAAAAACAAAAAACAAAAACAAAAAACCAAACCCGTTGCCGTTGAGTTGATTCCGAGCGATTCCAACTCATAGCAACCCTATAGGACAGAGTAGAACTGCCCCATAGGGTTTTCACGGAGCAGCTGGTGGATTCAGAATGTCAATCTTTCTGTTAGTATCCTGAGCTCTTAACCACTGCCCCACCAGGGCTCCGCCTGCCTTTATAGATCGTAGTTAAATGAGCCTCAAATGATCTCTCCGTATCTTTGGTTCCTCTCCTGTCATGTTGGTTTGCTCACCACACACAGTGAGTGCCAGGCTCATTCCCCTCTGTACCTTTGCTCCTGTTTATTCTCCTGCACACCTGGCCTATCCTAACCTGAAGTGTATGGCTCCCTCCCCTCCCACCATCCAGCCCCATCCATCTTCAAAGCTTAGTGCAGGAGTCATCACCCCTTTGAAATGTTCCCTGACCCAGCCAGCTCTTTTTCATCACCTCCTTCTCTGAATTCCTATACTGCTTACAGTCGCTTTCTCATAATTTAACAACTATGTAATCACTTTGAGTTTAGTTTGCTTTGTCATTTGCACTAGTTTTGTTTGCCTGAGCTTCCTACACATTCTTTGCAAGCAGAGTCCAGAAGTTAGTTCTCTTTTGGTGTCTCATAGCTCTGAGCACCAGGTCAGCTCACTAAAAGAATAATTAGTGATTGATGATGTGAATTTCCATCCTGGGATTGTGCACCTGCTTCCTGTGTGTCCTGAATTGGGATGCTTTTTGGCAGATTGAATATATAGATCCGATCAATAAATGGAAGACCTGGTCTCCACTGGGGGACACTTATAGTCTAGACTGGGAACCTGTGGAACCATTATTTCAGGTACCAAGAAAAAGAGCTGAAAAAATGTGATCTGAATGCAACAGGGCTACCCAGGCATGCTGGGGAGGAATGTTGTGAGCTTCGAGGGGTGGCACTTGATGGAGAGGAGGGGTGGGAGGAACACTCAGAGGCAAGAGGGAGTGCATGCCAGCACTCAGGATCCTTGTTCTTTCCTGGGCCCCAGAGGTGGAAGGGCCAGTCTGGGAGTCCCTTTACACTGCCCCCTCCCCCAGGATAGGAGAATTTAGGATGCCCAGGGAGGGAGCTGAGCGAGGCTTGATGTCTCCCTGCCTTTCCTCCAGGCTGAGGATGTTAGCTTCCTGTACCACCCCTGTGCCCACCCCTGGCTGAAGATTCAGCTTGCCCTCCTGGCCCGTGTCTGTGTGGCTCGGCCCTCACTGGCCCCTGACTCCAGCCTCACTCAGGATCGGGTAGGTGGTTGGTGAAAGGCACTGGCAGAAGGCTGCAGCCCCATGTGCATAACTGTAAGAAAAGGAAAATTCGGGGGCTTTCTCTTGCTTGCTCCCCACTTGCTTCAGATCTAACAGTTACCTCCTTCCATAGCCCTTGGTACTGACAGCGTGGGGGGCGGCACTGGAGATGGCATGGGTGGAGCCAGCCTGGGCTGCCCACTGGCTGAAGTGGAGGCGGTGGAGGAAGAAGAAAGCATGGTTCCACTCTGACGGCCTTTCTGGGCCCTCTCCCTTCGTGCCGACCCCAGGCAGAGGGCGGCTGTGCAGGAGAGGGTGTGTGCAGGTGAGGGGTCCTGGGCCCGGGCTTGGTGGGACTAGGGGGTGGAGCGGTGTCATTGGGTTATCTGGAAGTGGGCAGGGAAGGGTGACCGCTGCCTCTTCTCCCCACAGGCCCCGGCTTTGGCCTTTGCTCTGCGAAGCTGGCGGCCCCCAGGGACAGAGGTGGCACCTCGAGGGCCCGGGCAGTCCTCCCCAGATGGTGCCAAGAGGCGGGGGCTGCGGGCTGCCCTTCGTCTCCAGCCCACCCCCTCAGCCTCAAAGCTCTCCTCTGCTTCTCAACAGAACTGGGAGGCCAAGCAGCCCACATTGGGCACCCTGCGTGAGGGGGGTAATGCCCCATCAGTGCCCACTGCCTCCCCGCCGCCTGGGGGGCCTGAAGGCAATGCCAGCTCTAGGACAGAGGCTCAGGGATCCAAAGGTCAAGGCAGCCCAGGGGGCTGTGCCTGTCCCAACCAGGCTTCCCCAGCCCCTCGGGCAGCAGCGCCTCCACGGGCCGCCAGGGGCCCCACCCCACGCACGGAGGAGGCTGCCTGGGCTGCCACTGCCCTGACCTTCCTGTTGGTGCTGCTCACCCTGGCCACGCTCTGCACGCGGCTACACCGAAACTTCCGACGCGGGGAGAGCATCTACTGGGGGCCCACGGAGGACAGCCAGGACACAGTGGCCGGTGAGCAGCTCCCGCCCCGCCCCGTACCTCGCCTCGGCCCGCCCCCCCCGGCTTCCCTGCCCTTGACTCCCCCGCCCCCCCGCCCCCATAGCTGTGCTGAAGCGGAGGCTGCTGATGCCCCCACGCCGGGTTAAGCGCTCGCGCCGGAGACCCCTCCTCCCACCCACGCCAGACAGCGGCCCGGACGCGGACAGCACGGACTGACCTGGCCCCAGGCCTGCCACAGTGGCAGCCGGGCTCCTCCTCCGGTGGGGAGGCCGCGACCTCTGCCACGTGGACCGTGCGCAGGGGGCCCCCTAGCGGCCAGATGGAGCAGTCCGGTCTCAGCATGGCGAAAGCTTGCTTTCTCAATTTGAGGGAGAAGTCCGGGGATAAAGAGGAGCCTTTTCAACCTCCCTTGCCAAAACTCCCTGTTTCTAATTAAATTATTTTAGTAGAGTCTTGAGTTGAGCTTGTGCATCTGTCACAGACACACTCCCATCTAGGACACTGGTCCTAGACCATGTATGTTGTGTTTGGGGACCCACCAACTGGCCTTATACAAAGATATACCCCAGACGGTGACACTAATTTCCAAGCTCCTCCTCTAAACGACAGACGTTCCCAATGCGGGGGCTTTCCTGGTATGGGGCTTCATGCTTCTCTGCCAGGTTTGTCTTTTTCGTATCTGTCACCCCCTTCCCTCAATTGTCTCAGTATCAGAAACAGCACCATGGTCACTTATTTATTTTTGATACAAATGTACATGACACATGTCTTGACAGTCAGCCCACCCACCACCACACAGATAGGGCCTGGCCCCTAGGGAAGAGGCGGGGTGGGGAGAAGAGCTGGCATGTGCTGCCCTCCCAGGCTGCAGCCCAGGCTCCCAAAGGGTGGGACCACAGCAGAGGTGCAGGTGCTGATGGTGGGTGCTGGCCTCAGAGATGACGAGAACGGGGCTCACACCCACCAGCTGAGTTGGGGACCCCGGGGAGCCAGCCCCAGGCTCGGGGTGCTCAGTTCTCAGCCCCAGCCAGTACAAGTTCCCCTTCCACAAGGGAGGGTGAGGAAAGATAGAGGAAGTGGTATCCATTTAAGTTCATAGAGAAGGGGTATGGGTGGGGGGAGAGATGAGGGGAGGCAGCTGGTAGGACCACAGCTGGTTACCTCGGCAGTCCCTGGCCCCAGGGTAGGCGAGAGAGAGGCTGATCCCCAATGCTGGTCCCACTGCTCTGGTCCCCTCACCCCTCACAGAAACCCGGATGGACCAGGCCTCCGGAACGGCACTGCCGCCCCGCACACTCTCACGCAGGCACTCGGGGACACTGTTACCACAAAGTTAAAATTAAGGGGTGGAACAGAGATGAGAGAGGGGGAAAAAAAAGATTTTCCAGTGTTTGCTGCTGGGGCCCCGGCACACAGGGTGGGGCCGTTTGGCATTAAAGAAAGAGAGCAGCAGGGGGGCTGGTGGCTACAGGGCAGGGACATCCAGAGATTATGTACAAACGAGCGGGATGCCCCCGCTCAGCCCCCAATAGGGCTGAACTGGCTCATGGGGGTGGGGTGCATGTAGGAGGAGCTGCCCCGCTTGGGAGTGTCCCCACCTTGACCCTTTCTGAGGGTGCCCTAGAGGGCAAGGGGCTGGGAGTGATGCCGTCCAGGCCCCTGCACGCTAGAAGGGGATGGGGTGTTATGTACAGGGGAGAGGTGTATGGAATGTGGGGGACAGAAACTCCTGCCACCCCACCTCCCCATCCTTGGGGCTTGAGGGGCGGGCACCAGGGCACCTGGCTGCCAGGGGAGCATGGCAGCCTAAGGGCACTTGTGCCGGTGGCTCTGTTGGGGTGGGATTAGTGTCTGGAGTGGCCCAGCTCCCGTGGCCAGTGAGGTCCCAGGGTGTGGGTGAGGGTGTAGGGAGTGGTCACTGCTTCTTCTCTCGGGTGGTGATGGTGACCAGCTGCTTGGCAGCCTTGGCGATGTCATAGGCGCACTGGATCACCTGCTGAGTCAGCAGCTGGAAGTCCACAGGGGCGCCAGGCTCTGGAGGCACTGTCTTCCGGCACTCACTCTGCAGCCTGTAGGCGCTGGCATTGAGCAGCCGCAGTGAGCTACGCACTGGCTCCAGGGCTGGCCTCTGTAGGGAGGAAGTGGGAAGAGAGGCTGAGCCTTGGAGTTCAAGCTGTGAGCCAAGATCATGGCCCACCGTGTCCATTTCTCCACCCAGGTAGCAATCAGATCTGCCATGCCGGCCCTGCCCCAGGCCCTCCCACTCCTGCTCTTCTCTCTGGCCCCTGTACCTTTGGGAAGAGAGAGGCCATCTCGGTCACAGCCAAGTGGATCTTCTCTGAGCAGGGCACAAAGCTGTGGTGGGGGGTATAAATGAGAGGGGCTCTCAAAGAAGATTCCTGGGGACAGCAGGACGCTGATGGCTCTCCTGCCCTCTGCATTGCCTCAGAAGCCAATATGAGCCTGCCCCCAACTCATACCTGTCATGCTTGAATTCTTGGGCAGCCCGCAACAATTCCTGAATGTTCTTGGTGACCTGCTCCGTCTTCAGGATGACATCTTCTGTGCTGGGAAGCCCGGGGTCCAAGTCTTCATCCAGGCTTTCCAACTCTGGGTGGAAATCCTCCTCCTTGCCCAGCTCTAGAAACCTCTTCCCTTCCAGTCTGAGACCAGGGGTGAGAAAGAGAGATGTTCCAGCTGTGGGGCCACTTGCCCACACCCTCATGGACACCCTGGGGCCCTCGAGTCTCCTCCCCTCAGGGTTCGAGCAGGGCTGGGGTCCGGCTGCAGGGCTCAGGGCTGGGGATGAGACCTAAGGGTGCCTCACCCAAGCAATGGGTCCCCACTTTGTGTGTTCTCATAGTCGCTGTCGGCACCGCTGCCATGGCGGGAAAGCTTGCTCTGGAGGGTGTAGGGGAAGGGGCAGTAGGTAAGGTACAAGTTCCTGGACCCAGACGGCCTCCCACTCCCACCCCACTCCCATCACCTCCCACCCTACACACCAGTAAAGCCCTTCCCATGGACACTGGGGATGGAAACATTACCGGGTGGCGGCTTCCTTCCTGGGGGCACGACAGCAGCGGGGAGGAGGGAGCGAAGGGCACTGCTGAGGCTGATACCCCTTTCCGGATCTAAAACCCAGGATGCGGCTGGAGTCAGTCTCTCAGTGAGGGCAGGGACCGTGTGTGTCAAATCCCCTCCATGCCCAGCTTCTGGCACAGAGCCTGACACCCAGTGGGGGCTTGGAGCAGATTTGCTGAAACGGCCCCACCTTCCCCCAGGCCCTGCTTACCCGGTAAAGGCCAGAGGGCATGTGCACTGAATAGATGGCGTCATCCTCCAGCTCCTGAAGGGAAGAGGCACAGCGGGTGTCATGTGGGCCCCGGAGCGGCCCCCAACCCCTGCCCCGCCATGTGATCTATAGGAGCTCACAGTGCTGTGGAAAGGCTGTAGCCGCGTTGTAAGCTCGTCCCCGGGTGGGGCCCCAAAGGGCTTCAGGGCGCAGCCTGGTTCATACATGGAGAAGGCCTGGCGGTCCCTGCGGTGGGCACTCCCGCCAGGACCCACGGTGGAGTGTTCTGCCCTTTCACTGGGGATGGGGGGTGTGGGCACAGGCCCCGACTGCTGCCGGATCTGCAGGTTCTCTGCCTGTAGCTTGTGGATCTGCGAGCAGCCGCACATGATGTCAGAAACTCTGGTTCAGGCAGGACCCCACCCCACCCCCTACTCCCACCAAGGCTGCAGCCCTCACCTCCCTCTGCAGCCTCCGCAGTTCATCACTCAAGCTACTATTGACCTTCATGAGCTGCTGCACTTTTGCCTCGGAGGTAGCCAGGGCTTTCTTCAGCTCCAGGTACTCTTGCAGCGTCACAGCCCCATCAGACAGGTCTGAGGAGTCTATGCTCTGCAGAATGACACATAAGCCAGTCAGCCGTCGGGGCAGGGAAACAGTGCCCTCAGGGGGCTGCCATTGAGGCTGTGACCAGCCTGCTTGTCCCCAGAGCTCCTGGGGCACAAGAAGATGGCATCAAGCCACAATGGAGGGAGTCATGGGGTGGGGCTGACAGGAAGGGGTGGTCGGGGCCAGGGAGGGGCAGCACTCGGACCCGGGCACGGTTGTTCCGAGTGGCACCAGCACTGCGCAGGGGCTCCTGGTCCGTGTCCTCGTCGGAAGCCACGCTGTCATAGTCGTGCTGGTCGTCGAGGTCACTCTGGCTCCGTGTGGAGAACTCAAGGTTGTCTGAGGACACAAGGCTGTCACTCAGGGGTCATGCCATCCCCACCCAAAGGGAGCCAGGGACTCTCCTGGGCTGAGACCGCAGCCTCCCCGTCCTGCCCTCCCACCTGTCGGGCTGCTCAAGCTCTTGCCCTGCTGTCTTCGCTTGGCCTCGCTGAGAATGTCGATGATCAAGGTGGCAAACTCTCGAGCATTAAAGCGGGCTAACTTCTGTCTCCCCTGGGGGGCAGAAAGGGGCAGGCCAACATGAAGGGCCCCTTCTGGCTGACACACAGGGTGGAGACAGCAGCAAGGCGGTTCCCGAGTATCCAATTCAACCACAGCCAGCTTCACCCGGCCAGTCCTCCACAGCCACCCCCAGGGCGCGGGTGGGGTACGATACAGATTCAGGGTGGCTAGGGGGCTCTTGTGAAAGGGCTGGAACCTCCAGAGGCTGTTCACCAAGTGCTCAAAAGAACAGCCTCTTCCTCATTCCCAAATCCCGTGCCAGCTGGGCCTTGAGGGAGGCCTTGGCCAGGGGTGGAGAAGCTGGCCTGGGACCCAGCCCAGATAACAGCAATGGGCAAGGGAGGTCAGCGCTCACAGAGCAAAGACCCCGCAGAAGGCGACCACCCCAGGCCCCCACCCAACCCCTCACCTGATTCCGTGTGGCTGAGTACTCAGGGTTCACAGGCAGGAAGGGCACAGCACTGCGCTCCGTCACCAGGGTGCTGTGGTTTTGGGTTGCCAGCCACACTGTGGGGAAGGGGCAGAGAGAAGCTTGTCCGCAGTGGCCAGATGCCACACACGGGGTGAGGGAGGGGAGGCTTCCCAGCTCCTCCCCGTGCCCACGGAGCACAGGAGTTCAAAACAGGGGTGGTCTTGAGGTGTGTGAAGCTCAAAGCTCAGCTGGGTCGAGGCGAGGTTGGGAAGGCCGCTGGGGAACTGACGAGCAGAACAAGGCAACTCCCTCCCACCAGCCCAACACAGGGTTTGGGCTGGAGTCTGGCTGTGGCCAGGAAGGAGTGATGTGGGGGGCGGAGCAGGACCAGGAAGGAGCCAAAGTGGGAGGGCAGCAGGAGCTGAGATGAGGTGGGGCGGGGGTGGGGGGAAAGCTGGCTGCCTCACGCTGAGCACTCTGCCTGGCGGGGGCCGCTGCCCAGGCGGGCACACAGCTGGCAGGGCCTTATCTGCAGGCCTGCTGAGCAGCCCAACACCACACCCAGGCACCCTTCTCAGTCCCAGAGACCCATGCCAGGTCCTAGCCCCTCCCCAGCAGGGTAGGCACTCTCGTCCCACCCCCAAGGCCTCAGATGCCCTCCCGGCTCACCTGCGTCATTTTCTCTTCGATCTACCTCGTCGTACACATCCATGGCGAGTTCTTCAAAGAGCCGGTTGCTGAGCTGGAGGCAGAATGGAGGCTTTGTGAGACCAACCCCCTCCAAACTGTGCCAATACGGCCAGCTCACTAGGAAGTCCTAAGACACAGGGAATGGCTTGTGTCCCTTGTGTCATTTAGCTCCCAGTCTTGGAACCAGAAATTGGGGTAGGGGATCTATCTGCCATGCTCCAAGGTGGGAGAGGACAGAGGGAGACCAGACCAGCTAATTCCCTCACAGGTCAGAGGTGGAGGTTGAGCTCTGGGAGCCCTAACACTTCAAGGGGCAGAGCCAGGGTCGAACCCTCGGAGATGGAGAGGTTGGAGAGTGGTGAGCCTAGAGCGAGGGGGCAGAAACAGAACCAGGCCAAAGATCTGGAAAACGGCATCACGTCGGAGGGTATCTAGGACAAACCATGGGGGGGGGAGCAGGAGTGGTTGGGGGTGGCGCCAGGGAGGGCTCTGAGGAGACTCACCGCCTGTAGCTTCTTCTTGGCAGCTTTGGCCAGCTCAGATAGGTCCAGGCTGTGGATGGAGGAGGGAGATAGGAATGGGGGGAGAGAGGCGAGATGGGAAAGGTGGCCTGGCCCCTGCCAATGACCTCCCAAACATGCAGGGATCCCAGGGAGACAACACCCCAAATGCCGCACACCACGCGCCTCCCCACCCCACCCAACCTCCAAAGCCCGCACTACTGGCAGGCGCGATATACCTCTGAGACATGCACTTTTGCCGAGATCTAAGTCCAAAGGAAGGCAGCAGAAGGAAGAACAGGACACAGACAGCAATTACCCAGGAGCAGGGCAGCACAGGCCTTCCCACACCAGGCTCAGACCCATCTCCATCCACACACCTGACCCCGAGTGCACAAAACTGAACTCATCTTCCCCCCCAACCTGCCCCTTCTCCTGCTCGTCGTGCTTTTTCTCCGTTTGTGGCAGCACCCTTCACCCAGCACAAGGGTCAGGACACACCCGGAAGTCACCTGACGCCTTCCACACCCTCAGCCCCGTGTCTGCTCTCCATGTCCTGCCATCATCTCCTCTTGCCTCAGCTTTTCGACACTTTCCTAACCCATCTCCCTACTTCCAGTCTTGCCCCCACAGTGCTTCCTCCAATCAGCAAATGGGGTGATCTTTCAATTGACATAACAGACTACACTACCCTTTGCCTTAAAACGCTTTAGTAATGACAACTGTGTACAGCATATTTCAACTATACTTCAGCCAAAAGCTCACTTACAACATGCTAAGTGCTTTGCACGTGCTATCTTAGTCAGTCTTCTCAACAGCCCTGAAAAACAGGTATGGTCATCTCCATTTCACAGGTGAGGTAGTCAAGGCTCAGGGAGGTCAAGCAGCCTGCCTGAGGTCCCACAGATACCTCCATACATCTGCTCTCAGGGCCCCTCTGCCCTCGGGATGAAGTTGCAACTTTTGTCCAGGCGCACAGAGCCCGCCACACTCCTGCCTGGCTCCCTCCCAGCCCTGCGCCTGGGATTCCCTACCTCCCACGTTGGGCTCCAGCTGCAATGGCAGCCTGCAGCAGTTCCTAGCACAGCATTTCTAAACTCTACGCCTTTGCGTCTCTAGCTGCACTCCCCACACTGGACTCTGTCTGTTGGCTATGCTGCCTTCTGCTCTAGACTGGGAGCTCCTCAAGGGCAGGGTTCGCCACATCTGTGTTATCTCCGTGTCTCCAGTGCCCAGCACAGCAGCTGGCACTGGCAAGGTGCTCGGTTAACATTTCACTGAGTGCAGGGCCATATGTGTGTGTGTTCACAGGCGTGCGCACAGACACAAACACACAGACACGCACCAGGCAGAACCAGACCAGAGAAGTAGAGAAGAGTGTTAGAGCCTCAGAATAGAAGAGGTCTAGGTCTAGGGATATTAGGTGCCTAGGCCTGACCATCCCCAGCTGCCCACACAGGCCCCCGGGGAGAGAGAGCCTCCTCTCTCCAGATCCAAGCCAGCAGGCACAGCCTGGCATGAAGACACTGCCATCACAGAAGTGGCCACCAGGTGGTGCTAGCAGCCACTCTGTGAGCTGGGTGAGTGGCTGGAGGTGTCCACAGTTGCCTGGGTACCCGAGGCCTCTCAGATCAAAGACAGAAACACCTCATTCGCTCCCCCCACCACCCCACTCAAGCCTGTGCAACCCACAGAGGCCTGGTCATGAGTCCGAAACTTAGTCGAATCCTTTCATAGAAGCAGCTTGTCTAAAGACTTCACAGCAGGCTCAGTGCCAACAGAGCAGAGCCCAGTGACCCACCCTCCCCGCCAGAGGTCTTTCCTTGCACCCAGGCCCTCCATGTTCTTGACAGGCATGGGGCTCAGATTGTGCTGGCGATGTACTGAGATGGAATTTCTACCTGCTCTGGGGCTCAGGATTAGAGTGAGGACTGGGCTGTGAAAGGCCCGTGCCTCAGGCCCCAAGGATTGGGTGGCGGGGACCCAAGCCCCTGAAGCCTGGGGAGAGTAAAGGACAAGGGCTCTGGGTCCGAGGCACTCAGGATGGCATCCCACTGCCTCTGGGAGCCTCTGGGAAGGGGCATCAGGTGGGCACTCACCTGTCAGCCATCTGTGGGATGATGTAATGCCCATTCTTGTGATCTGAACAAAAATAAAAATGCCAAGTCACTGGTGCTGGGTGGCCTCAGCAGCTGGGAGCCCACCTCACTGCCATGAGCAGGGCTTGGCACCCTGAAGTGTCAATGGCAAAGGGAGGAGGATGGGCCACCCCCAAGAGCCCTGGGAGCTAGCTGAAGTTATGCCCACCCCCACTCCCGAGCCCCAACGTGCTGCAGCCCAGAGCCCGCAGCAATTTCACAGGAGCTAGTTGCCTAGCAACGCTGTTTCCCAGCCAGCTTTGTCACCATGGCACCTGCTGCTGGGAGTGTCTGGGTCCCACCTGCCTGCCCCGGCCAGGCCCACCCCACGCTCTGCTCACCCGGCTTGCGTCCACAGAGGTAGAAGGCCAATCGGTCAGTGAGCTCATACTGACACTCGACTAACCTTTCCGCCAGCTCATGGTGCCCCGCCTGCCTGTGGGGAGGGGCATGACTCAGCCCCGAAGCAGTAGCCTACTCCCCCAGCCCACCCAAGCCTCACCTGTCTGCTGACCCTCACCTGGCATAGTCGATGGGTGTGCGGCCATTAACGTCAGGGGAGCCAGGGTCAGCCCCATACACTACAAGCAGCTCGGCCTGCAGCGTCTGCCCTGCCTTGGCGGCCACGTGCAGAGGTGTGGTACCCTTCTCCGGATGGAAGAAGTTGGCCTGGGCGCCCAGGGACAGCAGGCGCAGACATGTCTCCAAGTTGCCCGTCCGCACACTTGAGTGCAATTGCTGCAAGGAGCACAGCGTGCAACAAATACACAAGGGGCCCTCCCTAAGCTGCACCCAGACCAGGCAGCTCCCAGGGTGCCTACCAGCTCCACAGGGCCCAGGCGAAATTGGGCTGTGTCAGGGAGGACAAAAGGCTTCCCACTGGGAGATAATGCCAGTTAATAATAGCTGCCACCAGTCACCATCTGCCACGTGCTGGGGGCTCTGCCTAGAACAGATACTGTCTACGACATAGATGCTATTACTTTACCCCATTTTACAGATGAGGAAACTGAGGCTCTGCAAGGCTAAGCAACTGCCTCAAGTTTTCACCGCATTTGAGAAGAAGAGCTGGGCCTTGGACTCAGTGGTAAACAAAGAGAGGACTTCAGGGTGTCGTGGGTAGGAAGGAGAAGCCCATCCGCTCCATCATGGGGCCCCTCAAACCTTGCTGAGGTCTTTGGCGGTGACCCCATCATCGTCCCGGCAGGGAAGCTTGTGCACAAATGCCAGCATCTGGTACTTGGCCCTGATGAACTCGGACTTGATGGGGCTGCGTAGGGCACACAGGAGGAAATGGGGAGCAGAGTGGGAAAGGCTGGTCACTCGGCCACCTCCTAGGCTGACTGTGCCTCCCTTGCCCACCACCCCTGCAACCCCACTCACTGCACTTTGTCTTGGGGGTTGGCTTTGCGTCGGCCGCTCTGTACTTGTGCGGGGTCCAGCAGGGAGTGCTCCCAGATGGAGTTGGCCCCATTGCTGGCGAGCGTGTGCACCATCTGCAGGAGACAGATGCCCAGTGAGAAAGTGCCCACTGCTTGCCGGGCACTGGGGGACACGGCCCGAGTGCCTACTGCAGCCCAGCACGGCTAGAAACAGGACCGAGGGAACTACTGTGTGCCTGGCACCAGCACACCTCACCATCACACCTCAACCCAGTCACGCCACCGTACGGCATGGACCCTAGTTAGCACTCCTGGTCACATGGTGAACATGCCAAAGCTCAGAGAGGTTAGGCACCTGGCTGAGCGTTATAGGGCCAGGCCGGTAAGGGGCAGGGCTGAGGTGAGAGCTCTGTATGCCTCTAGTGCTGGAAGCTTCCCCTCTGTGGGGTGAGCAGTTGGATCAAAAGGGCCAGGACGAGGCTCTGCTCGGGGTGGGTGCGACCACCGGAAGCTGCAGATTTCAGCTGGGTGTGCATGCGAGTGTGGGGAAATGTGCCCGAGCTCGGCACCCTCAGTCTGCGGGGAAGGAAGAACAACCCAGCCCAGCCCCGTACCTGCAGCAGCGTGGGAGGCCAGGCGCTGTGGCGAAGGTGCTTGACGATGGAGATGTGACGTCCCAGGCTCCGGTGCACGCTGCAGCACTCGTCACACACCAGCACACCCCTGCTGATGGAGGCCCAGCCAGGGTCTGCCAGGGACGAGACAAGGGTCAGCCATAGCCAGGTGACGGGGAGATGTCAGGCTCCTGAGTACCCGTCCTGGGCCTGCACTATCTGTAACACTTCAAACACATTCACTCAGTCCCCAACAGGCTACAAGATGGGAACCACCAGTACGTCCAGGTTCCCAGCTGCCAACAAGCTGACTCCGAGGCATGGCAACCCCACGTGTGTCAGAGTAGAACTGTGTTCCATAGAGTTTTCTTTTTTTTAATTGTACTTCAGGTGAAGGTTTACAGAACATATAGTTTCTCATTAAACAGCAGTACACATATTGTTTTATGACATTGGTTAACAATCTCACAACATGTCAACCCTCTCTCTTCTTGACCTTTTTTTTTTTTTGGTGAAAATACACATAGCCAAAGATTCACCATTTCAAAAATTTCTACATGCACAGTTCAGCGACATCGACTACGCTCTTCCAATTGTGCTGCTGTTCTCACTTTAGATGAACGTTTACAGAACAAAATAGTTCCTCATTAAACAGTACACGTTGTCCTATGACAATGGTTAACAACCTCACTACACATCAACACTGTTCTTTTTTTAAACGTATTTTGTTGCTGTTGTTGAGAATATACACAGCAAACCGTACACCAATTCAACCGTTTCTACACGTACAATTCAGTGACACTGATTACATTCTGCGAGTTGTGCAACCATTCTCACCCTCCTTTTCTGAGTTGTTCCTCCCTATTAACATAAACTCACTGTCCCCTAAGGATCCTATCTAATCTTTCAAATTGCTGTTGTCACTTCGATCCCTCAAAGATAGTTCTGAAAAGAGCATAATGCTCAAGGCAGACATTTTTTTTTTTTTTTTTTTACTAGTTAAGCTAAGCTACTAGTTGGTTTTAAGATGATTTCAGGGGATATTTTTGGTTTAAGTTTTAAAGATTATCTCAGGGCAGTAGTTTCAGGGGTTCATCCAGCCTCCATGGCTCCAGAAAGTCTGGAGTCCACAAGAATTTGGAATTCTGTTCTGTATTTTCCCCCTTTTGATCAGGATTCTTCTTCCATAGAGTTTTTAATGACTGATTTTCAGAAGCAGATCGCCAAGCCTTTCTACCAAGGTGCCTCTGTGTTGACTCAAACCTCCAACCTTCTGGTTAGCAGCTGAGCATGTTAACTGCTTGCAACACCCAGGGACTCCTACACCTGCGTTCCAAAAACTAAACCTGTTGCCAGTAAGTTGATTCTGACTCATAAAGATCCCAAGTTTTCTTGGTTATAATCTTTATGGAAGCAGATAGCCAGGACTTTCTTCTGCTGCATTGCTGGGTAGGTTCAAACCTCCTTATAGTCGCGTGCAAACTGTTTGTGCCACCCAGGCACCTTTACCCAGGTTATCAATGAGGAAATTGAGATACAGTGGTGGGATGCATTTTCCTAATGATACACAGCTAGGAGCTGACAGAGTTGTGCCCTTTCCTATACATCCTTGCCCCTCTGGGAATGTGCAGCCCCCAGGGCCCACCCAGTGAGTAGAGCTTCTTGTCTTCCCAGACCCTACAGCTGTTCCCCAGGAAGCAAAGCTGCTGCCCCAGCCCTTCCCCAGGGAAGGCAGGAGTCCCCTAGAGACGCTGAGCCAGTGACCCCAACATCCCTGGGCGCCCCACCTGGTGACCCAGGCTGGGTCAGGGCCACACATCTCTCACACCTAAGCTTCTGCTGGGACCACTGGTCCACCTGCCTGACCCATCTCACCCCTCCACGGGCTCCTGCCTCTGTCTTTGTCCTCTGGCATGTGAGGAACTGTGCCTGAGTCTCCTGCCACCATCACTGATGGGGTGAGCTGAAGCCCCATTTAAGGAGAATGGAGGGGACAAAAGAACCAACATTTATTGAGCACATACTATAAATCAGCTGGGTACTTTACGCGTGATGCTTCTTACAACGGCCAGGCAAGGTAGGAAATGCTCTCCCTGCTTCACTGATGAGGAAACAGTGGCTGAGAGAAGTTATGTGGCTTTCCCAAGGTCACACAGCTAATGAGCAGGGTTGCTGGGATATGGAACCAGGCACTATCATGCCAGAGATCATGCCACGTCCATACGCCTTGCTGTCCCCTTGTCCAGTGAAGGGGGCAGCCCCAGGCGGATGAAAGCCCTGGGTGCCACTCTCTACCCCTTGGGGAGAAGTGAACTTCGGAAACAAGAACGGGGATCCTTCTCAGGGGAGGGGAGATGCCACCCATCCCAGGCCCCTCGGGAGAGGGGGAGGAGACAGCTGCACACAACTCAGGCGACGGAAAGGTCATGGGGAGAAAGCAGCCATTGTGTGCCGCCCGAGGGTGGGGGCGGGGAGCCTGTCTCCCAGGACACTGCTCTGCCCAGGCCCCCGCCCAGGCTCAGGAAGCCCTGTCCTTGAGGGGGTGGGCTGGCTCTCTGCCCCGCCCTGTGGCCGCTCAGGGAATCCAGAAGTGGGCCCCCATAGGGGAGGGCAGGCTTGGGGCAATGAGAGCCTCTCCCAACCAGAAGGTGGTTCTCGGACCCTTCTCTCCAAGGACTTCCATCAAAGTACCCGGGAGGACCGTAAGGAGACTCTGAGTCAGGGGCCCAGCCTGAGCTGTGCCCACAGCACGTGTCCCCCATGAGGCGTGGAAACTGGAAATGAAAGAGCGGGCTTAGCTCTTTGGGTTTAGGCCTTTAGGGATACCTCGTAAAACGGTGCCCTCAGCTGGAGCTGAGGAAGGATTTGGGACCAGAAGGGCCTACTATAAAGAAAGACGGCGAATTTCCCCCAAAAGGCAGGGCTGAGGTGGGAGCAGACAGATGGACAAGGTGACTGCCATATACCTTCCTGGGGGACTGATTCCAGGGGCCCACAAAGAAGGGGGTCCAACATCTATACCAAGAGGGGGAGCTCTCGGGCACACTTTTGTGTTAACCTCACCCAAGCACTGAGCCGCCCCAGGCATGGAAGGCTCCCATCCCCACCCCCACAAACTCCACTGGGTCAGGGGTCTGCCCGCCAGCCACCTCTGGCAGCCCAGGCAGGAAGCCGGGAATGACGCAGCCCAAATTCCTCTTGTTGAAATGGTGGGGTTTCCTGTAAGTAGGGAGCCGCCCAGGCCAGGCCAGAATCGTAAACGGACCATCCTGAGGCCTCCACCCCAGGCCTGTGGCCCCACCAGAAAAGCCAGGCCTAGAAAAGTCGGTCAGATATCCACGGCCAGTGGTCTAAAAGCCCCAGACTTGGTGAACCCGAGATACTGCAGTGCTCGAGACCAGGATCCAGGGAACTTGGTCCGAGGCATGGCTTGTCACTCCATCTCGGCGTGGGGGAGGGGTCTTCCCTGTACTCCATGGTGGCTGTGGTAGGGGATTATGGTCAGAAATAGGAAGAGCACGCAGGGGACACTGTCCTGGTCTGGGCCACACAGGGGTTAGCTCAGTTCTGGAAGACACAGATGAGAAACCCACCTTACTCTTACTAGTTACTCCCTATGCCTACTTGGCCTGGGCCTACCCAAGCAGGAGCCCCATCCCCCACCCAGATCAGTTCCTAAGCAGAGGGGCAGAAAGGGTTTCGGAAAGGCAAATGACAGCTGTAGTTTAAGGTTAAGGGACCCTTGACCCCAAGAGGTTCTTGGACCAAACTCGAGGCAAAAGAGACAGGAAATGTAGAGGGCAGGGAGTATGGTGCCCCCTTAGGATTCTGTCACCCTTCCCCTGGGCTTCTGCCTCCACAGTCAGGGTGGAGGTCTGGCATGTGTGAGCAGGTAGCACAAGGGGTCTTGGAATAACGTCAACCTGTGCCAACACCACGGAGGCCTCCTCTGAGGTGAACTCATGTCCCCAGCTCACCTGCCAGTCCCAGCCGGACACAGAGAAAACGCCATTAGTGGCCTGTAGGGCCAGTAGGTCTGCACAGGCCAGCCTCAGCCTCCCTCACATTTTATCTACTGCGCCCGGGCCCAGATCCTCACTAAACAAGTGGGAAAAGCGCACCATCTCGAAAATAGGCAAGAGTAATCCATGTGGATAGGTGTCAGACTGGTGGTTACTTTGGCGGGCACTGGCTGGGAGAAAGACACAAGGAACTGGAGGACTGAAAATGCTCTACATCTTGACTGGAGTGGTGGTTACACAGGTATATACGCACAAACATTCATCAGGCTGAACACTTAAAGTGCAGGTGCTTTACCATATAATACGTTCTCTCTCAATAAAAAAGGGAAAAAAGCCCACAATTCACCCCACTCAATCTTTATTATTAAGAGACAAATGAGCCTGCAGGTTGTCCTGTAACATGTCACCAGGTGGTGGCCAGCCTTGCTCACCTTAGGTGCCCATAGAATGGGCATTTTCATCCCTGTGTCCAGGGCTGCCACAGTGGAAAGGTTGAGATGGCCGGCCCATGGATCAGGGGTAGGCCCCTGAGAGCTGGCATGGGGCCGTGTGGCAGAGTGGGTAGAGAAGAAGGAAGTGGGAATGCTTCCCAACCCCTGCCCCTCTTGTGGACTCCCAAGGGCAGGCAGGGATGTGCCTGGCAAGAGAGCAGCCACGCCACGTCCATCTGCCTCACCACATATTCACGCTGGTCCCGTGTGCCCAGGGGGAGCAGAGGGAGGACAGGGCCCTTAGGTTGCACCTCATCTTTCACCTCCATGCCCCCTAAAATTAATCAACCACAAAGAGGCCACCACCCGACTCCCAGGCTGGACTGCAGGGCTCCTATCACACTTAACGTGCCTATGACCCTGGTAGGAAATGCATAACCAAGGCTTGGCCCTGGGCCTGGACTCCAGGCTGGTGGGTGTCGTCAACTCTTACCCGGGCTGCTGTGTACCTGGAGAATACCCCTCCATGCCAGGACCAGCATTGTATGGTAGAAGTATGCGACAGTCCCAACCAGCCAGCCGGGGTCCTGACAAGCATCCAAACACCTGGGGAGCACCTGCTATGTGCCAGACACCATACTAGGTGCCAGGATGGGATGGTAAGATGTTGTCAGC